ACCACACACACACACACACACACACACACACACACACACACACACACACACACACACACACACACACACACACACACACAATCCTCATGAGCCACTTATCTATTTATGGAGCATTTATAACTAAAGGAAACATTTGTCATTCAGAGAAAACACAAAGCTGGATTGGCTGGAGTGTATCAAGTGCAACACGCAACATAAGCTTTAGACATTAACTCTGAAAAGCTCATATTCTTTTGAGTAAACAGAAGTGGAAGAGTTTACTTGTTTTCTCTAGCCTTGTGTTTGAAGTCATCTACAGCTTTCCTGAAGAGGGTGACACTGAACAGACCGCTGTCGCTGTCTTCAAACAGCAGCCTGGAGATGAGGACAGAATGCACAAGAGGTGTGGGAAAATAAATATCAATACAGCAGAGTATTTGTATTTGTGGAGCAACAATGCAACCACACAGAGATGCAATACATTTATATTTAAATGTAAATTTAATGTTTAAAATAAACATTATGTAATATAATAAAAATACATTTCAAATGCAAATCAAACTTTTTAGTATAAAAATAATACATTTCAATAAAACAACATTTTTACGTTTATTTTATTTAACAGTAATTTACTTTCTTCAGCTGCTGACTTTTGCAACGTTGCAAATTGGACTGTTTAAAATACCTGTAATAGTACAACAGTCCACACATGTTTGCACTCACTTAAGTTGGACTACACTTTAATAAAAACAGTTCAGTTTGTCAGAAAATAAAAATGACTGAAGTGAGAAAAATACAGAAATTCATGTTAAACCAGACGCTGAGAAGGTTGGAAAAACTGATACACTTTGGCTTGTCTTACCACCATGCCAGTTTAGAGGAGTTTAAAAAAAAAAAGAAAAGAACTGTTGATACCTGTTAAGTTGGATTTACTATAACTATAATTATACTATAAAGTGAAACATCCCTCACTGGTGACCATAGAAATCAACACTGGAGAATATTTTCAGCTAAGAATAAACTCTGTTTAATCAAACTATGCAAACTGTCTTCCTGCTGAGACAGCTCCAGATTTGGATCATCAGGATGTTGAGGTCACATTTGCCCAGAAAGTCTAAACACAATGTCCTAAATCACCTGGCCATGTTGACACAGGGTCAGTTGCCTTCTACAGGTTAACCACGTAACGTCTTCTATTCTAATACGGGTCAAATAATTTTTTACAGTTCACACGTAAAATGGTTCCAGTTTTAATCAGAGTCAAGCACAAAGTTAAACTCAGAAGAAGACACAGGAAGTAAAAATTCTGGTCTACCTCAACTGTTATCATAATAACATGGAACAGCCATGTGCAATTCATGACATGCACAAATATATTTAAAAGCAGACCTTTCTTGTACCTTTTGTATTTAGCAGCGTCTAGGGAGGACTTACTTGGTGGAGCGTGGTACGACCATTTCAGCCAGCGTTTCGTATGTCTTCTGCCAGTCAGCGTAG